CTGGCTTTGGAATAACATAGAGGCTGGGTCCCATTCCGGCTTTAATAAGCTGTGAGGAGACTCTGTGCAAGTTCCTTCATGTTTCTGGGTCTCGTTTCCACTTCCATAAATTATGGTTGTTACAAAGACTAAATGTAGGGCCCTCAGCACATGATAGGGGTTGAGCAAACGTTTACTGCACATCTATCAGATGCTAGGCAAAGCCCAGTGCTTGCCTTGTGGGGCCACCCAGCCAGGACTCGCTCTGTCTTCACCCGCTGCCCTCTGCTCGTCCTCAGACTGCTGACATGGGGCTGACAGAAAACATCGGGGACAGCGGACTCTGCTTTGAGTTGTGGTTTCGGCGGCGGCGTGCACGAGAGGCATACACTCTGCAGGCAACCTCACCAGAGATCAAACTCAAGTGGACAAGTTCTATTGCCCAGCTGCTGTGGAGACAGGCAGCCCACAACAAGGGTACTGGAGAGCTGAGGGAGGGGGTGCTTGGAGTCAGGGTTATAGCAGGAAGTTTTCTGGAGAGTGTGCAGACTGCTTGGGAAAACAGTGAATAGGGTGAAGAAAGAATGGTTTACAATAAGATTCAAGATCTGGCTTGAGAGAGATTACTGAGGTAGAAATGAGCCTAAGACATACCAAAAAGAAAGAGAAAGCTGGCAAATTTCAGGGAAGCAAGAGCAAGTAGGGGCTGGGTGCAGCAGTGGCTTACGCCTGTAATCCCAGCACATTTTGGGGGGCCAAGGTGGGAGGATTGCTTGAGGCCAGGAGTTCAAGAACAGCCTGTGCACATAGTGAGACCCCGTTTCTACAAAAAATTTTAAAATTAACTGGGCATGGTGGTGTGTGCCTGTACTCCTAGCTATTTGAGGGGTGAGGTAGGAGGATCACTTGAGTCCAAATGTTCAAGGCTACAGTGAGCTATGATGGTGCCACTGCACTTGAGCCTGGATGAAACAGCGGACTCTGCTTCGAGTTGTAGTTTCAGCGGCAGTGTGCACAAGAGGCATGGCCTGGGTGACTAAGCAAGACCCTGTCTTTAAAGAATTTTTTTTTTTTTTTTAAATTTTTGGCTGGGAGTGGTGGCTCATACCTGTAATCCCAGCACTTTGGGAGGCCGAGATAGGCGGATCACCTGAGGTTGTGAGTTTGAAACCAGCCTGACCAACATGGAGAAACCCCATCGCTACTAAAAATACAAAAATTAGCCTGGCATAGTGGCGGGCCCCTGTAATCCCAGCTACTCCAGAGGCTGAGGCAGGAGAATCGCTTGAACCTGGGAGGTGGAGGTTGCAGTGAGCCAAGATCTCACCATTGTCCTCCAGCCTGGGTGACAGAAAATAATAATAATAATATGAAAATAATATTAATAATAATAAAGCAAATGGCTTGGAAAAGAAGGTGAGAAACTGCTCACTTGGATTTAAGAACTGCTGCTACTTGCTGTGTGACCTGGACTAGTTTTTTGTTAGTTTTGTTTTTAATTTTTGTTTTTTTGCTGGGTTTCACCTTGGTTTTAATTTTCTGAACTTCATTCCACTCATCTGAAATGAAATAGTGTAACAGGAATGACAAAGTAAGGTGAGCTATATGGAAGCACCTTGTAAACTGTAAAGGTATGTAAAAATGTGAGTTTTTGTTTGCTCTTAACACCCAAGATGCAGAGTAGAAATCAGGCGGCTAGATGCTGAATGTGCAAGATGCAACATACTTGGGAGAAGAGCCAGATATCTGAGGAGGAAGTCATACCATCATTGCCATGCATGTTGTGGTAGTCAACAGAAGAAGTAACAAGAGACACCAGAGGAATGAGAGGGAGGAATCAGGATTAGGAAGGAGAAAAGAAAAAAGAGTCAACTGTGACATGCTAGAGCTAGGGGGAGGGGAAGGAAGAAGTTGGTAACAAGTGTCCCTGTTCCCCAGAGCTCCGAGTGCAGCAGATGGTCTCCATGGGCATTGGGAATAAACCCTTCCTGGACATCAAAGCCCTTGGGGAGCGGACGCTGAGTGCCCTGCTCACTGGAAGAGGTGAGGGCCAGGGTGCTGGGGGGTGGCCCCCAGGAGTGAAGACCTTGACAATGAGGATAAAAAGGGGAGATGTGGTGGAAAGTCAGGAAGGGCATCTCGTCCCAAAATCGGTGGGACTGACTGGGAGGCCCTCTATGAGACTGAGGGTCATTCCAGGGAGCCAAGAGGGCTTTCCCACACCAGCACCCCACCCCCAACTCCCCACTCTCTGCAGCCGCCCGCACTCGGGCCTCCGTGGCCGTGTCATCCTTTGAGCATGCCGGCCCCTCCCTTCCCGGCCTTTCGCCGGGAGCCTGCTCCCTGCCTGCCCGCGTCGAGGAGGAGGCCTGGGATCTGGACGTCAAGCAAATTTCCCTGGGTGAGGCACCTCTCAAGGGGTGGCTCCCAACAGCTCGGTCATGGTGGTGATGTTCAGGCTGCTTGCTGCTGAGCAATTCCTTTCTCTAGCCAAGTAGCCCAGTTGCCATGACAACTATGTACAGCTTCCCCACTGCTAAAAGAGCCTTCTGGTTGCTAGGGTGATGCTTACAACAGCCTGTTGCTAAGAAGCACTTCCTCTGTACCTCTCTCTCTAGCTCCCCTTGGGTTTCTATGGAAACTGCCTCAGCTTCCTGTTGTACCCTCCTGGTTCACCACAGCAATCCTTATAGTTTCCTGTCGCTTCTTCCCTGGTTGCTCTAATGATGCTGCTGACAATTTCCTGCCTCTTGGTAGGGGGTTCCCTTGCAACTGGATCGCTATGGTGACTCACAGCTTCCTGTTGCTATGGAGCTTTTTCTTCCCTGATGGAGCAGCTTGGTTGCTTAAGGTAATCTGGAGGGATTCTATACTCTGCTCTCACCCTAGCTTCCCCTTCAGCCCCAGAAACACTTGACTCTTCTGGAGATGTGTCCCCAGGACCAAGAAACAGCCCCAGCCTGCAACCCGCCCCCACTGGGAGCAGCACTCCCACCCTGGCCAGTGGAGGGATCTTAGGGCTATCCCGGCAGGTAAGTTCCTACAGTGAGGCTGGGAATGGGGTGATCTCTTTGGTGGCTTTCTGGGTGGGCTTTTCTGATCGTTAAATCCTGGGGCGGGGAGGGGGAGTGGGGGGAACTGAACTTGTACTCCCAGCTGAGGCTACAGAGTGGATTTGTTATCTTGTCTACCTTTCTCCTCTTCCCGGGACCTGGCTAAGAGGCACCAAGGTCATAGGTTAAAAGGAATCTTGAAAAAGGAGTATAGTGCTGGAGTGGATGGAAAGGGGAGAATGCCAATGGCCTGGCTTGGACTTGGGTTAAAATAGCAAAACTCATGCCAGGTGAGGTGGCTCATACCTGTAATCGCAGACTTTCAGAAGTTGAGGTGGGAGGATCACTTGAGCCTAGGTGTTCAAGACCAGCCTGGGCAATGTAGTGAGATCCTGTCTCTAAAAAATTATAATAATAATTTTTTAAATTAGTTGGACTTTTGAGGAGTGCACACCTATAGTCCCAGCTACTTGGGGGGCTGAAGCAGGAGGATCTCTTGAGCCCAGGAAGCTGAGACTTCAGTGAGCTATGTTTGTGCCACTGCACTCCAGTGTGGGTGACAGCAATCCCCTGTCTCTGGAAAAAAAAAAAAAAAAAAAAGTAAATAGCAAAATTCAAGGACTCTGGGGAGGAAAGGGAAGTGAATTGACAGGCTTGTGGGGAGGGATGGAGGGAGGAAAAAAGAGAGACAGGAAATATATCCCTAAATTAACTCTAATTTCTCTCCCCCCAGAGTCATGCTCGAGCCCTGAGTGACCCCACCACACCTCTGTGACCTGGGTGAGTCAGCATCCCTAATTTCTACCACAGCCAACACTCCTTCCCTCTTGCATGTACCTTTCTTCCTCTCCCCGGCTACATGGGAGTCAGCTTCTTCCCTCTCCCAACTCATCTCCCTCTTCTCTCCCGGCTTCTAGAGAAGATCCAGAACTTGCCTGCAGCTTCTCCTCTCAGCACACTTTGGGCTGGGATGGCAGTGGGGCATAATGGAGCACTGGGTGATCACTGAATTTCTTCCCTCTGCTTCCTGGACACAGAGGAGGTCTAAGGACCAGAGCATTGCCCTGCCACCACTCTCTCTAGTCTCCCTAGCTTGGTGCCTTTTCCTGCAGGAGCCAGAGCAGCCATATTGCTTGCCTTCATACCCTGGAGGTGGGGAAGTTACCCCTCTTCTGGTGCTTTCCCATCCTGGGCCACTGAATCCAGGACATCACTCCCATGCCAGCCCTCCCTGGCAGCCCATGTTCTCCTCTTTTCTCACCCCCTGACTCTCCATGAGAAGAATCATCTCTGCCAGGTCAACTGGAGTTCCTGGTGACTCCATTCTGAGATGCCACAGGAAATGGAGCTATGCAAACAATAATAGGAGGGTGTGACGGGGAACTGTAGACTTTATATATGTAATTACTATTACAATACTATTGTTATATTAAATGTATTTACGCATACTTTGCCTCCAAGGAGCTAGAGTAGTCCTCTGGATTAAGGTGATAAATAACTTGAGCCCTTTCCCTCATCTAACCCTTAACTAGAACACAGAAAATAAAACCAAGATGGGAAGGCACCCTCTACACTTCCCAGGCCCAGAGCTGACTGTGTATGAGCCTGGGAGAATGTGCCTCCTCCACAGTGGCTCCCAGAGGGTCCACACACTCTCTGAAGCTCCTTCTCCCACATTACATCTACTCCTTGAGGCTGAACTGGTTGTAGACAAACTGGGATCCAGCTTAGTCCAGCAGTTCTCAAAATGAGGTCCTCAGGCCACAGTGGATGAGAACCTGCTGGGCTACTTGTTGAATGCTAATTCTTGGACCCCACCAGAGCTGCTGCATCGAAACCTGGGGGTAAACCCAATATTCTGCATTTCTTATCAAACCCTTTGGGTGACAACTAAGTGTCTGAAGAGGTGACTGCTTCCTGAGCAGAGGGCCCAAGGAGGGGAGCATGACATGGGTAGCCAGACAGACACAGGGCTCTGTGCCTCAAGACACCTGTTTATTGGGGACACGACTCTGCGACAGGGATGACAGGAATCGTACCAAAAATAGCAACGTCTACAGGGCCCCTGATGGGGCTAGAAGGGTACAGTGCCCCCCCACCCTCACCCCTTGTACAAAAATAAACTCTCACGCCTATGGACCAGCAAAGACTGGCAGAGTGGCTCCTCAACCGGGACACAAACCCTCTCTGCCAGCCCTGGGACTCCGTTCTTTGACCCTCACCTCTGCCACTTCTAAGGCACTGTGACTCCCTTGGGCTGGGTGGGTACCACCAGCCCACCCTCCTACGCCCGCCGCCCCCTCCACCTCTGGTCCGCCTGGGGCTGGGATATGGGTCCCACGCTGCCCCCTGCTGGCGTCTCTACCCAACTACCTCTAGCGCTCCCCCGCTCCGGCGGGGTAAGCTCACTAAGCTAATCGCCCCTGAGGGCTCACTACCGTTCTTGCCCCCCCAGCCCTGCCTCTCCCGGTCTGGACAGCCCAGAACCCTCCTCCCCTTCCTGCGAAGGACTGGGAGGGGTCTCCCCTGATGGTATTCGGACATAGGGTGGGGACGCGTCAGCCTGAGGTGGCCGGCGGCCCCTAGCCCGGCGGCTGTGGTGCACCTGAAGGTGCAAGGCCATGAGCTCCGGGGCTCCAGTGGCGAAAGGGCAGAAGAGGCAGCGGTGGAGGGCACCCCCCGGCCCGGCCTCGCCTCCCGGCCCTGCCCGCAGGGACAGGTCCAGGGGCTCGGCCTCACCGCCTCGCCCGTTGCGCAGGGTCCTCCCAGGGCTGGCGGGCTTCCGACGGGACCCCTGCCCAGCACCGCTAGAAGGAGGCCGGGGGCTTGAGGCGCCCTCCACCCAGGTCGCAGGCTGCGGAGACGGCTTGGCTCCAGATGACGGGGCTGAACCCCGCTGGGAAGGGGGCGGTGGCTCCGGGGGTGGCCCGGGGCCGGCCCCACTCCTCTGCTCCCTGTGGTGGCGCTGTAGGTGATACTTGAGCGAGCCGGACTGGGTGCCCGCGTAGTCGCAGTGCGGACACTTGTAGGGCCGCTCGCCTGGGGAGAGTGGGTGGGATAGGATCACAGGGTCACGATCACAGCACGCACCCACCCGAATTTCGCCCAATTTACAGACCTCAACCTCAGAACATCCCACCCACTTTGATTGAATAAAGGAGTGTTTCCCAAGTGATATCTAGCCAAACTGAACGCTTCGGAGCAAACTTCACTTTCTGGTGTTTCAGCAGCCCTCACCTTTCTAGCCCCCCAGTCCCTTCTCCACGCCGGAGGCTGCCTCCCTCACCTGTGTGCACTCGCAGATGCACTTTGAGGTGATGTGCCGAGCGGAAAGATTTTCCGCAGAAGGGACAATCCTTGCCGGTGGCGCCCCGGCCCCCTTCAGGCCTGGTCCCTCCAACCAACAGCCCATTCTCTTCTGCAACACATACGTTAAGGGGAAGTCAGGGGGCCCTTCACCCTGTCCAGGTCCCACGCACCCACCCCACACCCACCCCATAAGGCTGCTTCCCCTCGGGGTCCAGGAGGAAACAGCAGGTATGGGGGAACTGGAACCTGAGCAGTTAGATTCGTTGCGACCAAAGAGTTAAGTGTTCTCAGATGATGGCAAAGTCTCCAGGAAAAAGCAAAACAAACAAAACAAACAAACAAAAAAACTCAGGAGAAATAAAAGACAGGTTCTTTTAAAAAGGAAGCTACAAGGGGACTGGCGGCGTAAGAGTCAGGGGAGGACGCAGAGTACCCCGAGAGAGGAGGGTCCCTACATACCCTGCGTGGCGGTCGATCTCGCCTGGGCCCCAGCAGCAGGAGCAGAGTGCCCAGGTCCCTCACCCGGGCGCGGGTGCAGGGAAGCCAGAGGCCCCATTGACCTGCCCCGGGCCCAGGTCTCCTCCTCGGCCTCCACCACCTCCTCTTCCTCCTCGGGCTCCTCCGCACGGTGCCGGCGAGCCCGGGCCGGGAGAGCAGAGGATAGCGGGCGGAAGCCTCCGAAGCTGCGGCCGGCCCCGGGCTCAGCACCCTCGCCATTGGGCCGGCCCTCGCCAGCTCGCAGGCTCAGGTAGCCCAAGAGGCTCGGGGGTTCACGGCGCTCGGCCGGGGTAGGCGCCGGGGCCAACAGGAGCGCTGGACCCAACGGCTCATAGGCCAGCAGGCCCAGGTCAGGAGGCTGGGGAGCCCGAGAAGGCCCGGAGCCAGGCCCCGGGGCGCGCAGCGGGCCCAGCTTGCTGGCGTGCACCTTCATGTGGTTCTTAAGGAACCAGGGCTCCTTGAAGCAGCGGCCGCACACGGGACACGCGTGATCGAAGGAGGCCTTGTGTTTGCGCATGTGGCCCTTGAGAAACCACGACTGTGTAAAGCTCTGGCCGCACACTTGGCAGCGGAACTCCGGAGGCGCTGGGGGCTCCTCGGGAGCTGCAGGAGCTGGGGCCGGGTTTGCCTCACGTTCAGGCTCCGGCTCTGGCTCCGGCTCAGGGACCGATCTGGGTTCGGGCTGGGGTGGAGGCTGAGGCTGGGGCGCAGCGGAGGTGGCCGCCAGAGGGCGCTCGGGAGCTCCGTGGGCGGTCAGGCTGTGGTGCAGCAGCTCCTCCTCCTGGCTGGCGCCGAAACTGCACAGGCCGCACTTCCAGGGCCTGTGCAGGATGTGCAGGTGGCGTTCCCGCTCCGCCAAGGTGCGAAACTTGCCTTTGCAGTAGGGGCAACGGAAGGCGGACGATGAAGGAGCTTGGGGCCGCGCCAAGCCCTCAGTGGCAGGGGCGGCCTGCATGCCCCCTGAGCTTCGGGCTCTCCCCAGTCGGGCCTCGCGCAGTAGCGCACGCTCTTCCAACTCCAGCAACAGGCGTGCAGCAGGACTACGTGGGCGCTCGGGCTGGTGTGTGCGCAGGTGCGAACGCAGCAGAGCCCGCTGCGCCGCACGGTGGCCGCAGTGAGGGCACTGGAAGGCCTGCGCGCCTGGGTGTGCCCGCAGGTGCAAAGCCAGGATAGAGTTGAAGCGGAAGCGCTTCCCGCATACAGGGCAGGGGAAGCGCCGTTCGCCTGCACGACTCTCAGACCAGCTCACTGCTCCCATCCCAGGTGACCCTGTGCTCACGGCTGGCCCGTTGGAGTATCGCTGCAGATCCAGCTCGCCGTCGAAAGCTGGCGGCGACGAGTGGCCGCTCGGGGCGCGGGGACGTGAGCCCTGTGGAGAAAGATCTGCATAGAGCAAAGGGTGAAGGTAGAGCTGTAAAGGAAGCAAGGGCGTCGCCTCGAGGGCCAGAAAGACGACACGAGGGAAGGTGGGCTGGGGTCTGAACTAGGAACACAGGGTGCCACTCACCTCGGGAAGTTGGGGGGGCTGTGTGGGAATCGAGATGTCAGGGCCAAGGAGTTAACTTCTAACAATGGGAGGTCAAAGAGAGAGAGAGGTAGGCAGGAGAGGGAGTATACAGTTGTAGGTAGGTACTTGTAGGTTGAAGTCAGAGCTTCACTCACCTCCATGGACCCCCTTCACATTCTTTGGTTCTGGGGAGTGCAGGGAAGAGGAGGAAAGGCTGCTAATGAAGGCAACAGGTGCTGTGGAGCTAAAGCAAGAGACAGATTTGGAGGAAAAGTGAGCCCTAGTTTTCAGCAGTAAAGTCACTCCCTACCCCTAGACTCTCAGCACTCTGTATTCCAAAAACCAATCCCTTCTCCCTACTTGCATCTTGAGGCACGAAAGGGCTGCTTTACTCAAAAGCTGTACCCCTTGATTTGCTAAGCCCACCAGCCTCCCAGATAATTCAGACCGCTTCCCCAAATTCTGTATTTTAAATGCACGGTCTAGAACAACCACAGCTACCACCCTACCCCCTGGTGGTAGGGAAAACCATCACAGTATGCCCTCCTCCCATGTAGGTTGGGCTGTACAGTGTGGTGAGCAAATGGGGTGGGCTTGACATGCTCCCCAGTTATCCAAGTGGGACCAGTTGCTCTGAGAACCCTGACCAGCCAGCCACACATCCTTCCAGGTTCCACAGTGCTTCCTTCTGCCCTTACCCTTTCTGTCTTTCCCCCCTTCATTCTCCCTCCCTCTGCCTGGATTCCTGATCCATTCATTTCCATTCATTACAGAGACTCATTCATGCATGGGAGAGAAACACCTCCCAGCAGCAGAGTCTGAAGACAGACAGAGGGGGAGGGGCATGAAGGGGGAGGGAGCAGAAGGAATGAAGAGAGAGTTGGGGGAGGAGTGGAAGTTAAGGGGCACAGCTAGCCTGGGGAAGGGGTTAAAAACTGCAAATACCGTATAGGATTCATCCCCTTGTTTCAAACCTTGGAGTCTGCAGTATGATGGGGCATCTGAGCCCCTTTGTCCAGGGCTGTTCTGAGGCAGGCTTTCCTCCTCTCTGCAGGGGAGAGGCTCCCTCACACAAGAGGAGGATTACACTGGCTCTGAGCTCAAGAGGCTGGAGTGAGGGACGGGGGGCGGGGCTGGGCCATCTGCACAGATAGGGACTCAGCACATGCTCTGAGCAGGAAGGGGTTAAAATTCTCCAGGCTAAAATTCCCTAGGCCTGGGACTTGCAGAGCTCCAGTGCTGGGGAAGAAGAACATTGAGAGGAAGAGGATGGGGGGTGGGAGGGGGATACTGATCCTAAGCTGCAGAGGAGTTCAGCATGAGGACTTAGAAGAAACCCCAGGATCAAGATTCATGGAAGTAGGCCTGGAGGATGACCAGAAGTCATCTAGTCTACCTTTCTGCCTCGTATAGAATTGTATCTGGTCAAGGCTAAATGAATGTGGGCCTAACTTTTTTTTTTTTTTTTTTTTTTTTTTGCCTAAGAAAGAGTATTTGAGATATAAAGAACTTCCTTACGACAGGCATCATGAAACTGAAATGGGTTACTGAGAAAGAAAAAGATTCAGGCATTACTTTGCCTAAGGATCTTTAATGGAAAAGAACTGGGCCAAGCGTCAACCTGCCTGTCAGCAGAGAGAAAAAGCTCTGGAGGTCCAAGGCTTCTTCAATTTTTGACATTTATTGTATGTGTTAAGACTCCATGAAGGGGCAGGTACCTGTTACATGTGGAATCTGGGCTATACGATTATTAATAGCAGACGATTAATTAACAAAGTGTCCTTGTCCAAGGGTCACTAGGCGACTTCCACTACCATTTAATATGTGTATTTCTGTAGCTTCAAATTAGGGCACCCTCTCTCATCCTCTGGATCTTTTCCTGGGACTAAGAGCCTCACCAGGCTCACCGAATAGTGTCACAAAAGGTGAATTAGAATAGGACTGAGATGTACAAGGCTATTGTAGGCCTGGTCTGAACATTGATAACCCTACAAACTTCACTAAATCACTTAACTTCCCAGTTTGCTCAACAATAAAATAGGGGATTGGACTAATTTATATGTTAGTCCCTTCCTACTAAAAAAAAAAAAAAATGTTTGTGGTTCTAAGTCACAGGACTCATTTGGACCCCAGAGAGATGTTAAAACAAATGGTCATCCCTTCAGTACCATGGAGAGTGCAGTGGGCTACCACAGAAGCCACTTTGGCCACCTCAGTACCATAGATAGAGCTATGAGGTGCTAGAGGGGCTGTTTGCCATTTTAGCATCACAGATACAACACAGAAAAGCTAGAGCATTTTTTTTGTTGTTCCTATCTGGAAACCATAAAAGAAAAACCAGTGGTACCACAGGGATTATTTTGGCCTTTTGGATGTCACTGAAAATAGAAAGAGCTAATAGAAAATAGATGTAACTAGAAGAATTTTAATTAGCTATAAGAAGCGTCCTGACAGTTACAGTTTGTACATCCTGGAATGAGTTACTGAGGCATCATATTTGGGTCCATCACATTCTGTTGCTCTCCTGGGGATTCCCGGAACATCCTGGTGTACAGCCAATCTGGTATATTCAGAGGAAGCAGATGGTGGTGGGGGGGGGATGCTGGGAATACTGCATGGTCATAGCTGACTAACCTATGGGCACATACTCTGATTCTGAGAAGATCCTAGGGCCCCTAAAACTGTCTGTAGGATAGCAAGCAAAATCTCATATGAAGCTGGCCTCATATCTGAGGCAAGAAGAGTGGGAATAGGGCAAAGCTTCCTCTCCCAAAACAAAACAATGATAAACCACTTTGCACATAGCAGTTTCCAGAACAGAAATAGAGTGATATGCAAGAAGGCCCAGACTGAAGCTGAACTCCCCAGCAGGGAAAGTTTCCCCAGAGGGTGGCCTAAAATCAACAAAACTAACCGAGATACCTTCCTAGGCCCAATCAAGATCTCCTGAATCATCTCTGTGTCAAACCAGGTTCCAGACACCTGATCCCATGATTTTTTCTTGGTAGGGGAAAGAAATGACAGGGACTGGGATACCAGCAACTGCCTTGGAACTGAGGTCATGTGTGTATTGCCCGTGGGCAATAATCACAGAGTTTTCCATAGTCAGGATTTAAACACTATCCTCGACACTTGGCCAGACAGCAGCACTGACCTACTTTCCACCCCCACTGGGAAACAGGGGTTATCTTGCCCTTATTTGGATTCTATAAGGATGCAGGGCCAGGGATAGGTATCAGAAACCTTTCAAAATCAACAGGCCTATTATCCTCAGGTTCTGGAGCAGCTGGTAGGGAAGTGGATGTGGACCACTAAACCTTAGTTAAGAAGGATGAAATGGTTGGTGAAAAAACTTAGAAACAACAATGACAGGTACATAGAAGTATCTATCTCCTAAATGGACCACAAAGACTGTCCCTCAAGTTTTGTAATTCAAAAGTTTCTAGGGTCACAGTATAAGGAGCAAGGGTTCAGGACTTCTGGGGTCCAGCTGTAACTGTCTCTTGTCACCTCTAACACAACAGTTTTCTGTCTTGAGAATCCTACACCTCCCAAATCTGCTAACAATTATGATTATCACTGCACTAGATGGGGTTAAAAGGAAAGGGAGCTTCTTAGGTGGTCTAGAGTCAAGACTACCTTGATCACACATACATCAGTAGTTTTATGGTCTCCTCTTCAGGGCCCTCTGAACCTCACTGCTCAGACAGCTCCTCCAAACCCACTCCACTGTGCAGCTCGCTAGCCTTTTTGGACTGAGTTCTTGGTAAAGCCTCCTTCCCTCCTTCTTTCTGTCCTCATTCTCCTGAGCTGAGGACATGGAACCTCAGCCATGGACTCCAAAGGTACAGCAGAGGGCGAGAGGAAGGCACATCTGCTCACCTGCTGCCACCCCACTATGGGGAATCTTATCCCAGAGGCATGTCCTAACGCAACCCCGATTTTGATTTTGAAAGTTCTGGAGGACCTGGGTTTGGGGAAGGGGGACATGTAGCCAGCCCTAAGTCCCCTTAACTGGCGCTGACCCTAGAAAAGTCAGTCTTAGCACCCACGTGAGCCTCAGTCTTCAGACTGGGAAGTAGGGGTGATCGAGGGAGCCTCTGAGAAAATCCCCCTCCCAGAAATAGATTGCTAAGTAGTGTAGGACCTGCAATCTGCCCGAGAGGTTTCTCCAGCAGCACCTCAGACCCCTCCCCAGGAAGATAAGCCAGAAGAATGATGGGGGGCAGGGTTGAGAGATAGGGAGGCCAAGGCTCAGCTACCCCCGGCCAGGAGAACAAAAGCTGAGTTACAGCCGCCTCCGCTGCTGCCGCGGGCCGAGCTCTTTGTGACACTTTGTTTGGGACGCAAAGAGGGAAGCACCCCCCCATCCTCTCCCCTCCCCCGCCACCCCGTGCTCCCGGAGAGTTTGGGCTCCTTCCCCCTCCCCCACCAGCCCTACCTGGGCCGGGGGCTGGGGGGGGTGCACATCCACTCAGGCTCGCGGCTCTGCCGCCCCTCACCCCCAGGCCCCTCGCGCCCTGCCTTCGGGCCCCTACAAAGACACCCCCCACCTCCGCCCCCACATCCCCCCCAGCTGGCCCTTCCTTTTGGTGTCTGCTCCCCCAGCTCCTCCACCTGGCCCCCCCTCCCTCGGGGCCCCCCAGCTCTCCAGGCTTCCGAGGCCGCCACCCCCACCCCGCCCCCCCAGAAGCTCTGGGCGAAGTTTGCTTGGGGCCGAGCCGGCGCCCCTCCCCCGCCCCCGCCCCCTGCACCTGCTCCGAGCCGGGCGCGCGGAGCGGGCCCCCCCTCCGGGAGGGGGGGAGGGGGCCGGGGGCGGGGGCCGGGTGGCGGGCGGGGGGGGCCCGGGAGTGGGGGGAGCGGCTACTCACGAGCCCCGGGCGGGCGGCGGCGGAGCGGGCGGCGGCGGCGGCGGCGGCGGGCGGCGGGCCGGCGGCGCGGGCGTCAGCGTTACGTGGGGCCGGGGGAGATGCGCCGGGCCCCGGCCCCCCCCGCCCCCGGCCCGGCCCCCGCCCCCTCCCCGGTCCCCCGCCCCCGGCCCTGGCCCGCATTGTGTGCGGCGGGAGGCGGCCCGGCCATTAGCATGCGGGGGGCGGCGCGGCGGGATTGGGAGCCGCGCGGGAGCCGGGCTCTGGCTCCAGGGACTGGGAGCTGGGGACCCCGGGAGCCGCGAGAGGCGGCCGCCAGGGGCGGGGTGCGGACGGTTTGGAGACGGGGGGCACTGTTGGAGGGAGGGAGTGAGGGAGGGAGCGGGGGTGGGGCGCACAGACGATTCCAACAGGAGACTGGAAGAGATTTTGAAAGGTCATCTCGTCCTTCCCCCAGCCTCCAAGCAGCACTGCCCCTCCCACCCTAAACCCGGACATACCAGGGAAGGAGTTGGCTCTGCCGCTCTTTCTGCCCCAACATGCACAGACTCGGGAAGTTCTTCCTGGGGTTTTATCTCAAAGCCTCTCCCTTACAATTTCTGTCTCTCTTTTGGGGGAGGAGGAGGGGCGATTATAGAGAGAGTTAATGTCGGCCGTATAAGAAACATTATTAAAGTTACTCTTCGGTCCTTTCCGTTCTTGATAAACAATTCCTGCTCCTTCCTCTCGAATTCTATTTTCCATTCCTCAAGTCACTTTCATGGCTCTTCAATACAACAAATATTTACTGAGTGCTTACTAAGTGCCAGGCACTGGGCTCAGCGCTGTGGGGGATGAAAAGAGAAGTGGTATCTTCCTTCCAGGCGATTGTAGTCTAGACTACAAACTGGTAAGTAGTACACTCAGATTTAGTCAATATTTACTGAATGCCTGTTCACCTATCTAATAGTATATAATCTTTCCAATAACCCTCTATAATAAAATTAGTCCCCATTTACAAGTAAGAAAAATGAGGCTTCAGGGAGTCTCTTTCTCCAATGGCCTGCAGGCTCTGGGGTCCTCCGTGCAAGCCCAACATCTCACATCGCCAGCAAATAAAATTAATGCACATGGGAATCGAGGAGGAGTACACACACAACGGTTTTCTGGATCCCTTTAAAATGTGACTCCCACTCGCTGGGAAAGAAAAGAGTAGATACGATGCCCCGCCGATGTTGGCACAGTATGGATGGGACAG